CCAACTTATCCTCTGAAATTTTCAATGGGAATTTTCGCAAATTTTTATATTTTGTACATAACTTATAAAAACTAGAGAAATATGTTTTTGTCTACTTCTGCTCGATGCCTATTCCTCAAAAGTGTAGCAAACCTTATACTTGTAACACACACGCGAGCTTCCTGACAGATCAACCGGTGCTGGTTGGCGCCAGGCCTGATCGCTATTCCGAACAGCCTTGGCCATAAGCTCAGTTCGTGTGACAGCCCTAGAACTCATGTAATTTCGTTCCCGTGCCCCAGCTTGCAAATCCGACCGATATTCTAAGCATTCTAGTTAACAGGGGACGTGTAGAAGTGAAAATGCACGGAAATTGCAATGCAGACATTATCTAAAAGTCTAGGCGCTTGTTTCTTCCGTGTTCTATATCTGCATGACAGACAGCTGCGATGGTTGCGGCTCATCGGGGGAGAATTACCAGCTTTCCCTCTGACGTTTACTGCCAAATGCCGAGGGTGTCCGCACTGTGGCATTTTTATTTCCTCATAAATCAGTGCATTAACCTGGGAGAAGTTCTTCAACACAGACCTTCTTAGGTCAGATGCGAGAGTTAATGGGATCATTTGAAAAAAAGTCTCTTCGACTCAGCGGGCTAACTGCGTTCAGTCCTCCTGCCGTTAGTAAGGTAAGCAGTGCAATTGTGTATTTGACAACGTTGCATCGTTTTGAGTTTCAGTCAGATAAAAATTTGTAAAAACTCATTCACAAGCACTTGTCAGCAGACTTGCTTGCCCGTCAAGCCAAAATTTATGAGTTCAATTGGTGACACCATTTTAAATGGGTGTTGGCTTCCACTTATAAGCACACCAAACGTACGGTAAACTTAATATCTTACGGATAAGGATGTTGCTTGGCGACTCTTTCGCAAATAAAATGACCTAAGCGCTCTATTTAAGGTGTTTCCTTTCCTTTTTGACTAGTAAAAACCTGCCTTCTTTCTCGTAACCTCCAATTGACGGAGTTGTTGTAAAGGCGTAAGACGGAGGAAGAAAAACTAAATTAAAGCGTAACAAAACTGCAACCACCCCTCGACGCTTAAAAGAGGCGTGGTTAAATGAACTGTACTCATAGCCCTTGGCATTTCGAAACAGGTACTACTAAGAGGTAAATAACTAGCCCTGCTCGATAGACCGTTAAGCAAATCAATCACAGCATGCTTGCGGAAATTTTGACTAGGAAATTTTATTTTCAGTCTACGGTAGGGCTCTCTAGATTATCATTTTCCAAAACACTGCGTTTGCTGCTTATATAAAATCCCTCCTACTAAAACATACGATGTGACGTCGTTTTTACGTTTCTTTCTTCTAAAGTGTTACAAATCCTCTTTCGTCAAAAGTTACTGCGTCGTGGCAGATAATCGCCCAGGGCATTTCTGTTGATAAAGGGTTAGTGAACGGTTGCCGGAAAAAAATTTTCGCTTAACACTCGAGCCGCTGCTTTGGATTGAGTACGTCTGGCTGCTGATGGCTAGAGAGCCAGAAATGGCCATTTCAGACTCCCTTCTTTTTGCCGGGAATGCTATTTTTCCTTTAATCACCCCAAAGCCTTATGTATAAATATTATTTCAATCTCCTCCGTTAGCTAAAAGGGAATGAACTCCACAGATAGATGCATTTTGAAGTACAAACCACATTGGCGGCACAGGCACAAGCTAAAAGCCCAGACGCGTGTTTCGTCGGTATTCTGTCACTGCTTGACACAGTTGAGCGGTATCCGAATCATCGATTTGCGCTTAGCATTCGCTGTGTACTTTCTAGTTGATACATAAGCTTTGCAATTCCGGTTTTTAAATTTGCTTAGAAATTAATTTTTGAAATTGCTGTAGATCAGTAGGTTCAAGGTCTAAAGTTATAAATGGAAATTTTTTGTAAATATTTTGAATATACTGCTCTACTGATCAACAAAAATCAAAAAGCTGAAACTTAAGAACTCGTGTATCAACCCGAAAGCACCCAGGGGATGCTGGGGGACCCACTGATGCGCTAGACCCTTCCCAGTTGTTTCAAGCAGCCGGCAAAACACGTGTCTGAGCTTTTATCTGGTACCCATGCTACCAGTATGGTAAATAGTTACATTATCTGTACTACTGTCTGCCAATTGAAAGCTTGCAAATTTTACGCAGTTATCTCACCGTGTCTGATATGTTTGGGCACAAATATTTACATCAAGTTTCTGTCTGTGCTAACAGACCTTGACTATAGTGATCTATGCCAATTTCAAAAACTACTGTCTAAGGAAATTCAAAGTTGAACCATACATTTGGGTCGATAAGTTTTAGGACACTTTCCCAAACCCGACTGGTAGAAAGTGTGTATAGGTATATTTACTATTCAAATTCCCATTTCTTACGTGCACTACATGTGGGGAATGAGAACGCAGGCTATACATACATGTGCTATTGTGGTTACGCGGTGTAGACACAATTTCTAATTCTTTCATTTTTCAGTAACGCGCATCCCCTCGAATTAACCGGTAGGCCCATATTTTATTCATCCCACGCCCACGCCCGTCGTGTGTATAGCCAGTCAGCATCACACGAGTTCTGCCTTCCGCCCAGTTGTACCTTTTGGGATAATTGAGCTGCCTGAAAGCCTGCCTAGCCTTACGGGGCCACAAAAAGGACAGGACGCAGGATTAAAATACACAGCCTAGAAACGACACCCATAAAGCCGCTAATCAGGGCAGCAGGAGCAATCTTGTCATTAAGAAGCCGTACAGCGTGTTAGGAATGGGCAAGGACTGTCTTAACAAATTTTACTGTCCTCCCTCTTCCTCCCTTCTCCTCTTTCACCACCACCACCCATCCCCTCCTTCTC